TTTATGACAACAACATGATAAATTACTAATTTAAAGTTTATATAAGAACATTTAAAAATATTTAATTATCATACTGACATGATATGAATTTATATAAAAAATTAATTAAAAAAATGTATAAGTAGAAAAATCTTCCAAATATATACATGAATTGATTTCATATATAGACATACAAATATGACAAAGTAGTCATTACTCATATAACGAAATAATTGTTATAGATTTGCATATAAGCTAAATAAGTACAGAAGAAACAGTCTCATTTTGATGCATATGTACTTAGAAAAATTTGTATTTCCAATTTTACCCTTCTATATTTGTATTACCTTTAAAATTTTTATTAGAACATTTAGTTTGGTTTGCACGTCTTCGGATACTTATCTTTAGGTTTGAGTTCTTGAACTTATGAAGTCTCGTTTTTTACGACTGCTGAGCAGTTTTTGAATATCAAACGGACTCCTTAAAAGGTAAATATAGTGTGATTGAATTTCTCTCTTTTGTAATTATTTTCGCTGCATCACCCACAGCTTTAATTGATTGTCCACCCTTCCCAATTGATCAACAAATTGTTGATTTCATAAAGTGATGATTCAAATTGGAAGAATTATAAAGTCTCCAAGCTCTATAAGTTTATTCAAAAAATAATAAATAATATCCAACCTTAATTCTATCGTTTAAAGGAAAATACGAAATCCAATCTTCATCTTTAGACCAATACAAACTTTAGGAAAACTAATCTAGATAAATAGAAATCTTAGAGTGTGTTTGATTGACATGAAAAATATTACTTAAAAAAGAATATGTTTTCCTTCTTTTACGGAAAAAAACCACCTTCACCTAAGAAAAATATTTTCCTTAAAAATAAGGAAAATTATGCAGATTTTCAAAAGTTGGAAAATATTTTTCCATGGAAAAAAAATAGCAATCAAACACTCCAAATAAGAGTTTGGGTGAAAAATTGATATTTTCTATAGAAAATAAATTAATCAAACATACCCTTAATATAATATATATCTTACTAAACTAAACCTATAAATATATTATCTTGAAAGCAAAACTAATTTTCATCAAAATGAAAAGGGCCCTATATTTTATAAAGTTGGTAAAGGCATTAGGCTCCATTGGTATTGGTTTTGGCGCTACCCTTTTAGCTGGTTGACATAAGAAAAATTGATTATAGAAGAACGTGTACCATCAGGTAACTTCTCAGATCTATTTTTATTTTTTGCTTATCTAATCATTTATAATTAGCATACCAATTTCAACCTAATTGATTAAATTAGTTCATTTTCTTTCATAGTTTCCAAAAAGAACCATCTTCTCAATATTTAATTTTTTTAATCTATATGCATTTTTTTTTGTAATTTTATAAATTTTGAGATTTAATAAATCTTTTTTTTTTTTTTAAATAAATACATTATAGTGAGTCCAGAGTCTTATATCAATTTTTATAACAATATTACACAGGGCAACAATACTACAACAAGATATCTTTAAAATCCATTTTATTGTTGTATGCAAGCACAACAATAAATTAATTTTGTTTACCAAATGCTAAAATGTTGATCTTGAAAACATGATAAATTCTGTTCCATGTATCTCATTTTTGTTAGATTCGTTTGTTACAGAATTTGTCCTCGTGTGTAACGATCAATTGATAAATCAAGGAAAAAAATATTCTATTCATTAATATATTATGTCTTTCATATCTCTTCTATTTAACTCTTTTCAGATAACTCAAAATACCATAAAATGTTCATATTAAGTGCAAAACGAGAGATACAAACATAATTAAGAAACTAATCCAAGTGGAAAATAAAATTAGTAGAATCCCTTAATCAAATAGCTTGAGAAATTCTTAAAGACATGAGCTTGAAAAAGTGCATAGTTACATCTATTTCCCATGGAGTTTCCAAATGATTTTCAGATTTTGTGAAGTCTGAGAATTCAATAAGCGAGTAATATTTTCATAATGACGTCAATGGCAATACGTATGATTGCTACGCAATATATCACTCTCGAGAGGAAAAGTAGACAACGTTTTTGTTTTTTCAATGGTGACTTTTTGTGAAGTTTGTCACAAAACGCGTAGGGTGGGGGCGTGGGGGTGGGGAGAGGGAATAGAAAATGTAAAAACCTAACCAATATACTTCCATTGACTTGATGAATAAGTCATTGATAATTCTATTTATTCTTTGTTTTAAGATAATATATATATATATATATTTTTTTTAGATGAGATGATTTGTCTTAACACGGATTAATGGAATTAATTTATTTTGTAAGTTGAATTTTGACGTATACATATTAACAAATGTTATATAGGTATCCTATGAAACAACACAATTCAAAAACTTTTGATTCTTTTCTATTTTTATTTTATTCTTATTAAATTAATTATCAAAGTTGACTGCATGTAAAAGTTTGGTAATTCTCTCACTTTTTTTTTTCTATTTCTTTTTGAGTAACTTTGGATAAAATGGTCAACGGTTAATTTGTGTAGTACATGGATTTTTGTCTTTTCTAATATAGATTTATTATTCTATATACATATTTAGTATTTATTCCTATATATACAAATTAAAAAAAGAAAAAGAAAAAGGAGAAGTCTTGATTGATAATTATTATGAACGTTTTCATAGAAAAATTCAAATCAAAAAGAGAATAATATATTTATTTATTTATATTTATTTAGTTTTCAGTTGGTTCAATCCCATTTATTTAATAGAAATATTTATTTAGCCCCTATTTGGTACCAATTAAAATTTTAAGTTAAATTAAAATCTACAATTAATTAATCATATATCTTATCAACCTCATAATTTTTTAAACACGCATTTCATTAATTTTTATTAAAAATTACAAAAAAATCTGTTTTTAATACACATGAATCAATTTAGTAAATAAAGACTATAGTCATTTTGATATGACATAGCAGTCAACGTGGCAATGATGTGTTTTGTTATGTCATGCAAATGATGTATTTTGTTATGTCATTGCATGACATAACGTTGCTGACATATAAATTAACGTTATTCTAGTCAATGATTGACTTCCAACATTTTGAAGGTAATCCATGAATCCATGATGGATTATAATATTATTTGGACCGTGCTTCACGTCTGACTCATGATTCATTTTTTAAGTTGTTATTATTTTGATATTTTGATATCAATCATGCTATGGGTACATTGCGATATTCAACGGGGTGTCCAAAATGGATACCTGACACCTCGGTATTGGTCGAGGCGCCTGTCACGTCGAGGTCCACCAACGTCTTGGCCAATATCGAAATGTCGGGTGTCTATTTTGGACACCTCAATGTACCACAAGCATTATTCTTTTGATATTACTTCCTATTTCTATTGGAGGCTAGAGAAATGCTATAGAAATAGGCAGAAAAATAGGGTTAAGAGTAGGTTGTACACATGTCGATAACTAATCGAAGAGTTTGAAAAATTAAAAATCTAACAATTTGATGTCACATCAATCTATTTTTTAGTCTGATTGTTTATAATTTTTCTGGAGACTATTCTCTTCCACCAACTTTCGCAGTGGCCATATGAAAAGCATAAAGCACAACCCCACAAGAGCAGATTTGGACAAATTAATGTCTATTCAAGAAAGCACACAAGAATTAACAAAATATATAAATTGAAGATTAATCCAAGCCGCCAAAGAGTCTCAAAGTTTTCTCTAATATTTGTGGGAAAGAAATAGTGCTTGGGAAATGATTTCATTCAATATAATGAATGACTTAATTAAGTCTTTGTATGGATTAATTAAAATTTTAATATATTTTTTTTTCTCTTTCTCCTTTTCCACCATACATTCAATAAAAATCTTTATTTGGCTCATTGAAATTTTAATACATTTTTCTCTCTCTTTTTTCAATCATACATTCAATAAAATAATATTATACATAAAACGAAAACGTATTACACATAAATAGAAAATCTTTCCTTCTTTCTCAACCATACATTTTTCAAAAAAATATTATTCCAAAAATTAAAATCTCAAATAACGGGAGACAAACGGGTCTAAGTGAACACAATAGAGAAGTACAAGCAAATTTGCAGAGAGCAATAAATTGAAATAAATCATTTTTAAATTTGAATTCTTGAGAATCCAATTTCACTTGCCAAATATATTAGCACTATGTTTAATATCACGAAGTAAATAAGGACCCTTAAAGTTGCCAATGTTGAAAAAATTGGAGTCTTGGATTATCTGCAGAATATATAAACATATTCATACCATAATTTATGTCAACTACGCTACATTTTAATTACAATGAATATCCTAAACTTTTCTTATGTTTACACTTAAGTTCTCAACCCTTTTTTTTTTTTTAAGAATTTTTTTGTCATAAAACCTCTATTAAATTTCACAGAGACATTTTTGTCTGTCCAGAATGTTTGTTATGAGAGCCAAAAAAGTATATTTATCTCCCATGTTTTTAAATAATCAATACAAAAGTTAAATAAAATATTTGCCCATTTTTTCAATGCATGTTAGTAGAATATTTGGATGAAAATCGTGATTAGATATAAAATATGTCAATTAATTGAAGGTTAAGAGTGAAATGCGAGAGGACATAAAAGCAAAAGTAAGCAAATATGAAGAACTTATCTTATAATTAAAATGTGGTGCAAATATAAACAATTGTTGCATGAATATAATTACCGTTGCAAAATTTCTTGACCTAATTCTGTGTTACCTTAACCATGATACATTTGATGATGATATAATTAATGTTTTTCTTGGCAATCTTCAATTTCCTCGCACTTTTTATTATGTACCTGTATAATCCCATTTTTTAAAATTTATTTTTAATCACATATTCTATGGGACTCATGAAATTTATTAACTTTTTAAATATACTAAAAATTTTATTTTATTTATTTTTATCTAAATCAAATAGGGACAAAGACTGGACTTGATGATTTTTAGTCTATAAATATGTAAGTCATCATGCATACTTTTACTCATTCATTTGATCAACCTAATCCTACTAGTGACGGACAAAGAAGAGTGCAAATTGGTTATCTTCAACATGTCAATGGACACAACTCTTGATATTGACCTTAACATCAATCCCAAGCAAAACTCGAGCAAAACTCCAGTAAGTGTGACTCGTAAGTCTAGTTAAAGTATTAACGGAGAAAATCTAAACTTTTGATAACTTTACTTATATTTGATTTCTTATAATTTTTTTTAATTTTTTTGTCGCCCAGCATGTGGAGTTTGAAAAGGATTCTGTGGGTGAAAGCAAGTCAACAATGAAAGACGAGGTGAGTCCAAGCAAAGTTCAATGTGTATTTCGATTCCCTTGAAATAAATTCAAATATAATTTATTTCCTATAATCTAAATCCTCTCTTCAGTCGTCTTCTTTATCTAGTTCAAAAAGAACGCACCAAACTAGACTTAACTATTTATGGGAAAGAAATTGCATTAAATTAATTTGAGTTTATAAAACCCTGATGACTAGTTTCGACCACACTTCAACCATTGTGAAATGTTTTCGATAAGAAGATTCTGATTTACTCATTTTCTTTAACTTTTAATATTTCCTCCAACTTCTGACCATAAACTTTTAACTTCTATGCATGCAGCCTGTTCATTTTTTGATCCAGCAGTTAAATAGATTGAAATTTGAGAATAAGAAGCTGATAGAATTGCTCAATATTATCCAAGGAAATTACTATGATTTGATGCAAAAGTGCTCAGGAGATGAACCCTTGAAAACAGGAAAGAGAAAGGCCCACTATGCAGAAAATTGTGACAATTTTGTTGGAAAAAATGGAATCACTTGTAGCTGCTTTGATGACGGGTCAACTGGGACTCCAAAAGAAATTGTGTCAAATGTTTCAAAGGTTTATGTGCGCATTGACCCTTCTGATATGAGCCTTGTAAGTTAATTACTGATCTCAAATCAAATAATTTAATGAAAATTTCTTGAATCTGTTGGGAAATTACTGATATGCCTTGTGGATTAACATATGTAATTAATTGTGTATTAATGATATTTAAAAGTTAAGCTCAAAATTAAAGTGATCTAATAAAGAATAAATAATTGGGTTTAAGGCATCTAAATAAATTGTGGACCCGATTATATATGTAGAGATCGAATTCTTTTAGAATTGTATTTCATGATAGGCAAAATATCTAAGGGAACTATATACAACGTTATGGTCCCAAATTCATATGTAACTTCTCATTTTTTGTGTTATTCCATCAATACAAAAATACAAGAGAAAGCATATTGAAGAGGAAAATCCAAAATCCACAATCAAAAATAAGCAATCTACAATCACGAATGAAAATTAAAGATTTGGAAAACAATATTCAAATATTATAATTCAAGATTCAAGATCACGAATCAAGATCTAGCATTAAAAAAACATTCCCAATGAATCAACGTATGTTCCGCACTAATTAATTTCCTTCGTGATTTGACATGATGATCTTAACAATAAAGTAATTAGGTTTTCATGTTTATTAAGATTTAAAATTCTATAAAATTTCAATAATTGGTATCCGAGTTGACTCCATGTTACACCATTGGGATTACAGGAAGAATTTTGCAGTTGAAATTCATATATTGAGTTTTGGAATCTTTTAATTTGGAATATGAATGTTAGCCATAAATTTCGGAATTCAGAAATTTTCAAGATAAAATTTCAGGGTTAAAAATTATAATTTGAATTTTCTAATTTAGGATATAAATTTTAACCATAAAATCCAAAATTCAAATTTTTGGGATTTTCTAGTTCAAAACAATAGTCGCGGCGCTGTCCAGGCGCTATGATGCCCAGCGGCTGCCTTGAGGCCAAGCATCGCAGCACTGGCGTGGCACGCCCAGGCAATGTTGTGGTACCCAGAAGCGCTAATTTTTTCGAATAATTTTTTTGTTCTTTTGGCCACAAAAGAGAAAAAATAATAAAAAATATAAATATAAAGGGGCAATCAATTTCAAATCTTAGTATTTAAAATTTCTTTCGGATTATCAATTTTCTAAAATAGATTAGTTAAAGCAACATGTTACCAAAGTAACTTCTCTTACCTAAATTAATTTATTTGAAATATTAGGAAAGTTGTGTTTACTTAAACCAAGAGTATCACTTACAAGTTGATACTTCTATCCAAAGACTGAATATCAATGCTATGCTCGGTCTCTTGTGATGGGGCCCACCGCTATTTGAATATTGATTGTCCAATACGAATTTTCATCTGAACATGTTATTTAGTTTTAGGTTCTCTATTCAATTAATTCATCTACTTCTAAAATATCTGTCAATATCAATTATTGAACTAAACTTTAAGGGCTGGAAAGAGAAAGTTTATATCGTTCTTAATGGCAAGGATTTAAACCTTCGTTAAGGACTAAACTATCCATTAACAGTTTCGTTAATAAATCGTTCAAACTACATAAGTCTTTTGATCATGAAGCATAAAATTCCAGCAACATTCATGGGCACTATATCCAATAAGGTAAATGCCAAGAATTTTCTTAAATAAATATTCCAAAGCACTTTGTGAAAGGACAATAAGGTTGAAACTAGTATGCTTCTAGTAAACTTGATTTCACTAAAGAATAAGAATAAAGAAAATATGGAGTACATTAGGGATGTGCCTCATCTTGTTTCAAAATCAACAACATTAAAGTTTGAGCTGTCTTATGATTTGCTTGTGCATATGATGTTGATTTCTCTTCCTGCACAATTCAATTAATTTAAAGTCTGTTATAGCTGCCAAAAGGGGAAGTTGACTCTTAATGAGCTCATTTAATATTGTGTGCAAGAAGAAGAAAATCTAAAGCAAGAGAGAACTGAAAGTGTTCACTTGACAAGTATTTCCAAGGATAAGTTAAAGAATAAGAAGTTGCATTAGATTCGATTCAAAAGAAGCAATTCTAGTAGTTACTTTCGTAAAATTCTGGGACACGTGAAGAGAAATTGCACTAAATATCACACTTAGCGTATAAAGTCAAGTATACTTCTCATTTTGGTATGATCTGAGGTTAATTTAGTTTCAATACCCAGACACACTTTGTGGATAAATTTCGGCGTCACTGTTCAAATAAGCATGTCTATACAAGGTTGTCTAAACAACCTAAAGCCAATTGATGCTGAAAGATTCATCTGTGTGGGATGATGGCAAATTAGTTAAGTTGAGGCTATAAAAATTTTTAGGTTATTATTATAGACTGGTTATTATTTGAATTTGAAAGAGACATTTGAAGTGTCGTTTTTTAGATGAAATTTGGTTTCTGTTTTTACATTGAACAAATTCGGTTACTTTTGTTCAATTGGAAATAGTAAGTTTAGTTTTTTTCTTAATTCAATTATTATAGGTATCAATCCATTATCCAGTTATGATAACCTATATATGTTTAATACGATTGCCTCTTATAAAGAAACCTTACATCTAAAATCATGCAGTATTAAACATAAATTAACCAATGAGAATTTCATTTCGTTATGACATAAACGATTAGGTCATATCTCTCAAAAGGGAATGAAAAATCTTGTGATAGCCCTTAATTTACAGACTCAAGTGTTTATGTTAATCACATTAAGAGGAAACAAACAAATATAAGAAAATTAGGAACCAATAAATCTTCGGATGTCTTAGAACTAATTTATACAGATATCTTGGGTCATTTTTTTGACTTCTTGGAATGGTCAATGGTAATTTATTATGTTCATAAACGAATTTTTTCACAATGGCTACATATATCTCACCTATGAGGAATCCCAAATATTGGACATGCTCAAGGCATATAAGGCTGATGTTGAAAATTAACTCAGGAAAAGAATAAAACACATTAGATTTGACTGTGGTGGTAATATTATGACAGATATGACGGATTAGGATACCAACATCTAGGCCTTTTGCTAAATTCCTAAAGGAATGTGGAATCGTCCACAGTACATCATGTCGGGTTCTCCTAGAATGAACAGTGTTACTAAAAGACAAAATAGAAAACTTAAGAGCGTGATAAAGAGTATGATTAGTCATTCCACTTTAACAGAATCTTTTTGGGGAGAAGCTTTAAAAACTGCAACTTATATTCTCAATAAAGTTTTAAGTAAAACAACTGGCAAAACTCCTTATGAACTTTGGATAGGCAAGAAGTCTTATTTGAAACATTTGGACATTTGGGGTTATCCAGTTGAGGCAAGGCCTTATGGGCCTAATAAAAAGAAACTGAATTTTAGAACTGTCAGTTGTTATTTCATTGGAGGCTCAAAGAGGTCAAGGGTTTATAAAATTTATGATCCCACTACAAAATCAATTTCTGAAAAGAAAAATGCCCAGTTCTTCGAGGAAGTAAAAGGATGTAAAGTTTGCCGAGGGGATAAGGTTAGAAATTTTATCTTTGAGGAGGAACATATAACTATTCCTTCTATTGCAATTGACTATGATTTGGATCAGGAACAAATTCTTGCTCCAGATCTTATTCAACAAGCAATTTTGGATCAAGAAAATATTATCAAATCTCTCATACACAATCAAAAGATTGTTGTAGAAGAACAAATTCAACAACCTCAAGAGCAAATAACATTAAGGAAATCCACTAAAGAAAAAAGGCAATTCGAATAATTTTATAGTCTTTTTCCAAGAAAATAAGGATGGTACTGTATTGGTGGAAGATGATCTGATCAATTAACTCTCATCATGCAATGTAAAATAATAATTTTTAAGAATGGATCGATGCCATGAATAAATAGATAATGTTCATGAGTAACAGTTACGTTTGGAAACTCATTCCATTGCCTGAAGGTATGAAACACATTAGTCGTAAATGGATTTTTTAAATCAAGAGGGATTCAAAGGGTGATGTGGAGAGATATAAAATTTGTCTTGTGGCAAATGGCTTCACTCAAAAGGAAGGCATTGACTTTAAAAAGACTTTCTCCAATTTCTATGAAAGACTCTTTTAGGACAATTATGACATTTGATCTTAAGCCACATATGATGATTTACAGATTAAAGAAATCCATCTATGGGCTTAAGCAAGTCTCCCATCAATGGTATCACAAATTTCATCAAATGATTATCTCATTTGGTTTTGAGATGAATTCAGTTGATGATTGTGTATATCACAAGTTCAGTGAGAGTAAGCATATTTTCTAGTATTGGATGTCAATGACATACTATTTGCTTGCAATGATAAATAATTATTGAATGAAACCAAGAGATTTCTTTTATGAATTTTTGAGATGAAAGATCTTAGTAATGCTTCTTTTGTGTCAAGAATACAAATACGTTGGGATCGTTCTCGGGTTATATTTGGATTATCACAAAAGAGTTATATCGTAAAGTGTTTAAATGATTTGGGATGCATATGTGTAAATTAGGTGATGCTCCTATTATTAAGGGAGACAAGTTTAGTCTCAATTAATATCCCAAAAATAAACTTAAAGAAATGAAAGCACAGAAAGTTCCCTGTACTTTAGCAGTTGGGAATTTAATGTATGCATACGTCTGGATATGACATTCATTGGTTGAATGCTAGGTAGATATTTAAATATCTCTGGGATGAATTTGAAAAGCAGCCAATTAGGTTATTTGGTGTTTATGGAGAACTAAGGATCATGTGATCATATTCAAAAAAATTAGGCCAATTGGAGTTTATTGGATATTTTGGTTTTGATCATGGAATATGATTGCAAAATTTTGTCACCAGGCTACATATTTTGGATGGATTTTAAAGACCACTTTAGTTCTTCTGTGACAATAATAGTCTTGCATTCCAACAAGAATTTGATGATTTTAAAATTTATGGACATTAAGTTCCTAATTGTTAAGAAAATAATTCATAGTGCTCAGGTTTATATAGAATAATTAGGACAAACTCTATAATTGTGGATCCGCTTACTGAGGGGCTATCATCCAAGGTTTTTCATGAGCATACTGCTCACATGGGTATTACATTTTTTATTATATGTCAGTTTAGTGGGAATTTGTATTCTGATGTTTTCTGTTTTGAACACATAATTCTATCCAAAAATATTTGGTTTATCTAAAAAATAAAGTATTCAATTCAGTTTCAATCTAATTAAAGTTCTGATTTGATCCCATAAGGTAGGTTCAATTGGAAATAGGCATGTTCAGATCACATTACATGTAATTTTCATGATACATACCATACTTGATCAATGTCATTTGATTGTGTTGATATGTGACCATTGAGGATTTAATTATCGTAATTGTAACGAAGACCGTTTTGATCCTATATTAGCATAATTAATGGATGAGATTATTCAGAGATGCCTTTTGGTTATGATAGCATAAGTATTAAGCTCTTAAGGTTATACACATTTATAAGGTAACATATGCGGCCTAAGTAGGAGATGGTTGAAAAATATTAATTTGCCACCTGGGCTAACATATTTAATTAATTTTGTATAAAGACTATTTTAAACCTAAGTCCAAAATTAAAGTGAACTAAAAAAGAATTAAATAAAGTAATTGGGCTTAGAGCATCTAAATAAAGTGTGGATCAAATTATATGTGTAGATACCAGATTCCTTTAAAATTGTATTTCATGATGGACAAAATACATATGAAAACTATATATGCGGTTATGGTCTCCAATTCATATGTAATTTTTCATTCTCTGTATCATCTCATCAACATAAGAATACAAGAGAAAGCATATTGAAGAGGAAGATCTAAAGCCCACAATCAAGAATAGGCAATCTACAATCAAGATTAAAGATCCAAAAGACAAGATTCAAATATTATAATTCAAGATTCAAGATCCAGTATTAAAGAAACATTCCTAATCAATTAAGGTATGTTCCGCATTAATTAATTTTCTTGGTGATTTGACATGAAGGATCTTGGTAATAAAGTAATTAGGTTTTTCATGTTTATTAAGATTTAAAATTCTATAAAATTTCTACAGAATCACATCATCCGAAAGGTGAAAGTTAATTCTTGGAGACAAAATTAGATGATCTAATGAAAAATTTGTGAAGTATGTCTTACCAAACAAGCCATAAAGGTCTAACGTGGTTTTGCCTACAGGTAGTAAAGGATGGATATCAATGGAGAAAATATGGACAAAAGGTGACTAGAGACAATCCATCTCCTAGAGCCTACTATAAGTGCTCCTTTGCCCCAGCTTGCCCGGTCAAGAAGAAGGTAGAGTTCATTTCATGGAATTTGAATTCTATTGTGTATAGTTCGCATGCACTATTAGATTGGATTGGACACTTAAAAATTTTGATATGTAGTTTAACACACACACGATAATTTTTGACAACTTATTTACTTATGTCAATACGCCTTTCTAGTACAGCCAGAGTTATTTTTTCATCCTATGCTTAACACATGCACACATTTTCAAAATGTAAGCGAGACTTGAACAACTTTATCTAAATGATTAACCTGTTATATACAGCAAACTTATTTTTTTTCAATTGTACCCTTCCACGTGAATACCGAGTTATTTGAGGAAATATTTGATTTATGCTTGTAGGTGCAAAAAAGTGTGGATGATCCATCACTTTTACTAGCCACTTACGAAGGCAAACACAACCACAAGAGTCCTTCTGAAGATGAAATTTCAATAGAATTATCAAAGGGTGTAACTGAAATTTCATCCTCCAGCTCTATCTCTATATCAATGGTTGAACAAATGGCTTCAACTTTAACGAGAAATCCCAGTTTCATAGCAGCACTAGCAGCAGCTATTACAGGGAGGATTTTAGATCATGAAATGGAAAAAAATTGATGCAAGAAAGGATTTCAGTCTTTATTGTCATCTGGGTTCATTTTGGAATTTGAAGTGTAGCCAAAAATTGTTGAATTTGTAATTTTGGTTATTTACAATGGACACGATGTTTGTACTAAGAATTTTGCTATTTGTACATTAATTTTTAACACTTTAGTTGATACTTGCATTGTTATCGTGTATCAATTAGAAGAAAAAACTGGCTGAAATTTAAACTGTTCAATAGGATAATGTTACGTGATAAAGTGTAAACTAAAGTATATACCATAGTGTATATGTAGTAAGGTTCTTTTTGCTAAATACATCATCATAAAATGTCAATTTTTCTTGTAATGAAGATGTTATTTAAATTCAAATAGTATTTTGTAGATACTATTATAAAATACAAACGGAAAGTGAGTATGACTTTTGAAATGCAGATATCCAAATTTACTCTTTATTTTAAAAGTTAAATTGAAGAGTCTATTGAAACTTAATTCAAAGTACATCTTATAGTTGAAATTATTTTAATATTTTGAAGTTATTTGGCGATTTTGTTTGTGGTTATCCATGTGCAAGTGTTGATTTTTTGGTGGTTGTGAATGTTGGGAATTTACTTAAACATGCACAGCGGAATTTAACAAATTTCAATTCCCATTCAGGATTCAACTTTGTATTTAGATAAAAACTGTGATAAGAAACATACCTTTACTTGTAATTTGCAAAGTCCTTCACGTTATTCCTTTCCAACAGCTTGAATCTGCCTCCCACAGCTGTCCAATTGTCCAACCTCCAATGAAATCCACACAGAGAATAGACTGCAACTGCTAGGGTTTCTCTCTTGTGCCAGCAAGAATAATGAATACCTTATGGACCTCAAACCCTAGCTGTGTATATATATAAACCCAAACGGACCCGACCCGGTCCGGTCCAATATTTAATTAATCCAATTAATTAATTCGGGATTATAAATAACAAATTCAATTAATTAATTTATCCAACAATTGTTAAATTAACCAATTGACAATTTGCAATCTTCTAATTCTCTTTTGTGTGCGACCCATTAGGTTCCCGACCACGATACCTAACGTCGTGAAATATTTTTTTGATCTAATCAAAAATTGATAAATTAATACACCCTTTTAATTTATCGTCAATTCACACTCGCCATCCCTGATTGACATCTAGCAATGTGTCAGGGCAATACATGTGACGAGAAGTGTCACGTGGTATGACAAAACCAAATTCGTTCGTTTACCGTGAAACTATTATCCCTTCGTCAATATGATCCGATCAATTACGAGATATGGAATTGTGTCAATCTCGATCATTGATCATATCTTTCACTCCACTATTAAGTCAATATAAATCAAAATCTCCTTTTCGACTTATGAGTACACCTTGGCCAAGGATTTCATCATCGACTTAATTGAATGAAACGCAGATCATAATCTCCTACTATCTAAGAGTGACGAATCATTTATTGATCAATCACAACCTTCATACGATTCTTGACGTACCCAAACGATGTCGTATTAGCGGCCCCTTTCAGAGCAACATCCAACACCGCCAAAGTATGACTGTCCTCATATAAGGTATCATAACGACCTCAAGTCAAAGGACCAATTCCACTACCGAACGTTAGAGATTAGCCACTGACACTCAGATAGTTATCCATGTGGAATCTCTTAGCGGGTCTCCAATATTTTGTTCTATAACAAAACATTCACGTGTTCATTTAAGTGTCACCACACTTTAACTCGTGAGATCAGCTACTTACTTCACAAGTAAGAAATGCCACACGTGATGGTCTAACTGTATTAACGATATCCGTATCTCGTTACTACTTACGACCATGATTTATTCAAGATCCAATTATATGTAATTTGTATCTCACAATTACAACTCCTTGTGATTAACAGATTACCTAAAAATTGGATTTTCGGATTCTATTATTTAATATCATTTCCTCCATAGATCAAGAACACATCTTTAGTCCTTCTTCAGTACTTAAGAATTTTCTTAACCGCTATCCAGTGTTTCTCACCAGGGTTTGCTTGAAACCTGCTCGTAACACTTAGAGCATATGAAACATCTGGTCTCGTATATAGCATCGCATACATGATAGATCCTATCGCCTAAGCATAAGGAATCTTGTCCATGCAACTCCTTTCATCTTGTGTTTTAGGACACATATCTCTTGAGAGGTAAATCCCATGTGACATGGGGCATAATCCTCTTTTAGACTTTTCCATATTAAATCTTCTCAAAATTTTATCTATGTACGAAGATTGGGATAAGTCTAGTAATCTTTTAGATCTATCTCTATAGATCTTGATTCCCAAGATATACGCTGCTTCTCCCATATCTTTCATGGAGAAATTCTTTGACAACCATAATTTTACCGATTGAAGCATTGGGATGTCGTTTCCCATTAATAATATGTCATCGACATATAATATCAGGAATACGACTGCGCTCCCACTTGTTTTCTTATAAACACACGGTTCATTTTCATTTTTGATAAAATCAAACCTTTTGATTATTTCATCAAAACGAAGATTCCAGCTCCTAGAAGCTTGCTTTAATCCATAAATGGATTGATTTAGCTTGCATACTTTGTTGGCTCCTCTGGATTCAAAACCTTCAGGCTGTGTCATGTACACCTCCTCTTGCAGGTTTCCATTAAGGAAAGCAGTTTTGACATTCATTTGCCATCTCATAATCATGGTATGCAGCTATTGTAAGCAAAATTCGAATGGACTTCAACATGGCTACAGGCGAAAAAGTTTCATCAAAGTCAATATCTTGTCTTTGTGTGTAACCTTTCGCTACTAGCCTGCTTTGTATGTGTGGACGTTTCCATCCACATCGACCTTTTTCTTATGAACCCATTTACAACCTATCGGTTTTATCCCACCTGGAAGGTCGATCAAGATCCAAACCTTGTTCTCATACATTGAGTCCATTTCGAATTCCATGGCATCTTGCCATCTCTTCGAATCAACACTTAACTTTGCTTCTGCGTAATTTGTAGGTTCATCATCCTCGATTAATAATACTTGATTAGTAATCGTGAATTCGTACCTTCTGGGAGGTCGAATGATCCTGTTTGATTTACGCTGAGCTGGAGTGTCCTCAGGGTTCTCTACATCCTGATCAAGAGTCCGTCCACCAACAGGTGTAGGATTAGACTCAAGTTCATCTAATTGGTCAACAGTGTCTATGGATTCTTGAACTTCTTCAAGTTCTAGTTTGCTCCCACTACCCTCTCCTAGAATAAACTCTTTCTCTAGTAATATGGCATGCCTTGAGATGAACACTTTCTTCTCAACGGGATTATAGAATTGATATCCAATTGTCTCCTTTGAATATCCCACAAATACACATTTGTCAGATTTAGCTTCAAGCTTATCTAGTTCATTTCGCTTTACATAAGCGTCACAGCCCCAAACTTTCATATGAGATAAGTTTGGTCTTTTTCCTCTCCATAGCTCGTATGGAGTTTTGTCGACTGATTTAGATGGAATACAATTAAGTGTGTAGCACGCAGCAATTAGTGCATGACCCCAAAATGATTTTGGGATGTTTGCATGGCTCATCATAGATCGCACCATATCTAACAAAATGCGATTCCTCCGTTCAGATACACCATTATGTTGAGGTTTATATGGCGGAGTCCACTGCGAGAGAATCCCGTTCTCTTTAAGATAATCTAAAAATTCTCCCTTTAAATATTCTCCACCTCGATCTGATCTTAGCGTGAGTATATTTTTACTAGTTTGTTTCTCTACTTTAAGTTTGAATTCCTTGAACTTTTCAAGTGCTTCATGTTTGAATTTCATCAGATACACAAAACCATATCTAGAATGATCATCAGTGAATGTGATGAAGTAAGAGAAACCATCTCTAGTAGTTATTGACATGGGTCTACATACATCAGTATGTATTAGTCCCAGCAGTTCTGTGGTTCCTTCTCCTTTTCCAGTAAAAGGGAACTTGATCATTTTGCCTAACAGGCACGACTCGCATCTGTCAAATGATTCAAAATCAGTTGACTCTAAGTATCCATCTTTGTGTAACTTGGAAATGCGTTTGTCGTTAATATGACCTTATCTGCAATGCCAAAGGTATGTATTATTTAGATTATCTTTTTTATGCCTTTTATTTTCTATATTCATAATAGACGACTCAGTATCAAGAATATAAATTCCATTCTGCAACACACCACAACCATAAAAGATCTCATCTTTATAAAACGAACAACGATTGTTCTTAACATTAATTGAAAAACCACTCATGTCTAAACACGAAATAGAAATAATGTTTTTAGTAATGGCGGGAACAAAATAGCAAATTATCTAGTTCTAATACTAAGCCTGAAGGCAGTGGTAAAAAATATGTCCCTACAGCTAATGCAACAACTCTTGCTCCATTTCCCACGCGCAGGTCAACTTCTCTTTTCTGCAGTGCTCTACTTCTCTTTAGTCCCTGCATATTTATACAAATATGAGATCCACATCCGGTATTTAATACCCAAGAAGCTAATGAAATAGACATATTAACCTCGATAACAAAAGTACCTGAAGTAGAAACTTCAGAAGACTTCTTTCCCTTCAAGCTTGCGAAGTAAACCTTGCAGTTCCTCTTCCAATGACCTTTCACTCCACAGTGATAACATGGGTCATCAGATTTGATATTGTCCTTGCCTGCTTTGACTGCTTTATTATTGCCTTAGCCTTTTTGGATGTTTTCTTAAAACTTCTTTTAATTTTCCTCTTAGTTCCCTTGGAGGAATGAATAGTTAGGACATGCCCAGTGCTAGCCTTGACATTGGGCTCCACAGTTTTAAGCATATTAAGCAACTCAGGGAGTGTGCATTCGATCTTATTCATGTTAAAATTCATAATGAACTGTGAATAACTATCTGGCAGAGATTGTAGAACCAAGTCAATACTTAGTTCATGATCCATGATAAAACCCAGTGAACTGAGTTTTTCAATAAAACCAATCATCTTCAGCACGTGAGCACTGACTGATGATCCTTCTGCCATTTTGCACTGGTATAGCTGTTTAGAGGTCTCATACCTCTCCACACGAGATTGTTCATCATACAACTCCTTGAGATGAAAAATCATAGTGTAAGCATCCATACCCTCATGTTGCTTCTGCAACTCAGGAGACAT